GATGGGATGGGATGGGATGGGATGGGATGGGATGGGATGGGATGGGATGGGATGGGATGGGATGGGACAGGACTCCGCCACGGCCCAATGCAGCCCATCAGGAGGGTCCCACGTACCCCCACAGCCCCCCCTCTCCGCAGACTCACCTGTACCCCTCCTGCTGCCATCCATGCTCTCCATCCTGCACCGGGGCTGCGCCGGGGGCCGCGTAGGAGCCGACGAAGACGTTCTCGTAGTCGGGAGCCAGGCGCACCCCCACGGCAGCAGGGCTGCTCTCTGCCTCACGGCTGACATAACGGGGCTGCCCATGGGCTGCAGGGGGCTCCCGCTTCCCCCACCCCGCAGCGTCCGCCGTCCTCCGGCACCGCCACACCACCACCCCCAGCGCCACCCCTACCGCCCCCAACCCCACCGCCACCCCCACCGCCACCGCCGCCACGCCGCCGCCCGCGGCCGCATCCACCATCCCCACGGCGTCCCGACATTCCCGTGCGTGGAAATCGGAGGCGTTGACGGGGCCGTGGGGCGCAGCACAGAGGCAATCGGCACCGGAGCACGAGTCCGGCGCTTTGCCCACAGCATCGCAGCGGCACGGCGGCAGCGAGGGCTGCGAGGTGGTTGCCCCGATGCCGTGGGGAAGCAGCAGCAGGAGCAGCAGCATCGCTATGGGGCGCCCCATGGCTCCGCCTGGGAGGGAAGAGGGGGTCAGAGGAACAGAGCCCACAGCCCCTTCCTTCGTGGCCGGGGTCCCCGTGGCTGCGTTTGCCCCCCACCCAACCCAGCGCCCCGACTCGCCTGCAGCCGGCTGCTGTGCTCAGAAAGAGGAACGGGCGGTCCCTGTGGGTCCGTGTCACTGCGTGGGGCGTAACCGGGCCTGGGGGGGTCACTGCTGCTGCTCATCCACTCGCAAACGTTCCTTCCATCTGGGGTGCACGGGCACCGCAATGCCCCTGTGCTGGGGTTCTGGCACTGTATTGGGGGGGGGGGGCAGGAGGGCGTGTGGGGTGGGCATGGGGGGCCCAGTGAGTGGGGTGGGCAGGGGGGGGGGGGGTGCCAGGGGTGGGGGCGGGGGTCCCAGGGGGGCGCCCACCACCACTGCACGGCCTCACGTGCCTCCATGGTGGAGCGCGGGGGGACGAGGACCTTTAGTCTGGGTGAGATGTCACAGCGTGGGCCGGGCCGTGCGACACCGTGACACCGAGCCCACGGGGTCCGAAACGGGGGCTGCAATGGGGTCCTCAGCTCAGGTCGCACCGGGAATCCCCCGCCGTCCCGGGTTGGGATCAGAGCTGGGATCAGAGCCGCGGTGGCAGAGAGGACAGAACGGCGCTCATGGCAACGCCGCCGGGCTGCGGGCGGCCCCGCAAAGCCCCACCGCCACGCGCGTCCGCGGGGGTCGCGGCTCAGCGCTCGGGCACGGCTGACACCTGCAGGCCGACGGGGGAAGCGCCGCGCACGCAGCCGCCCGAACGCACGGCCTCGTGCACACGCGGCCCCCCCGCGTGCCCACCGCAAACACGCGTGTCGCGCTCGCGGCTGTTCCGAGCTCCCCGCCGTGCCGTGCCGCGTCCTTCCCTGCTCTTCCCCCGCCCTTCCCTCCCTGCCCGCCCTTCTCCATCCGTCTCTCAGCGTCCGTCCCTTCGTGGCCGTGCCCCCCCGCGTGTCTTCCCTGCCTCGTGTCCGTCACCACGCGCGTCCACCCTTTCCTGTCGCTCTGTGGTCTCCCCCTCGTGTCCGTGTCCTTCTGCACCCCTTCGTGCCCACCTCCCTCCCGCCCCCCCTTCGTATCTGTTTCTTCACCCACGCGCGTACGCGACCGATCGCTTCCCCCCCCCTCCCATCCGCGTCTCCGCGTCACTTCACGCCCACCACCCCTTGTGGACCCCCCTCCCTTAACCTTCCGCCATCGCCCTTTTAAGAGCGGCCGCGCGGGCGGAGGAGGAGCAGCGCCGGGACGGAGGGGTGGGGGGGGCGGCGTTGCTGGAACAGCCGCGCGCGCGGGGGGAGGGAGCGGCGGCGGCGGCGTTGCGGGGACCCCCGGCCCCGCGCGGCGGTTTCAAGGTCCCCCGGGCCGGGCCGGGCCGAGGCGCAGCGCGGGGCCGGGATGGCGGCGGGGCGCCGCCGGTGACAGCGGGGCCGTGCAGGATGTACGGCAAGGGCAAGGGCTGCGGCGTGCCGTCCGACGGGCAGGCCCGCGAGAAGTGAGTGCCCGGGGCGGGGGGGGGGAGAGGGAGGAACGGACGGACGGACGGACGGACGGAGCGACGCGCGGAAGTTTTCGCGGGGGTTTCCGCCGCGGGAATCGGGGCCGGCGGCGGCGCGGCGGGGATGGGAGAACCGCGCTCCGCACCGCTCCGCACCGCTCCGCTGCGGGGCTGCGCGACCCCCGACGGATCCCCGGAGCCGCTGAGCGCGGCGTCCCTCCGGTGTCCCCGCGCGGTTCCCGCGGGTGTCCCCGCGTCGTCCCCCCTCGGGGTCGCGGTGTCACGCGGGCGGCGACGCTCCGAACGCGGTTCCGCCCCGCAGCGCCGTGTCACCCGCGGGCAGCCGGTCCCGGTGCGGTGTCAGCCGGCTGCGGGGCTGGCAGCGCTCACCGGGCCGAGCCGCGCACGTGGCCGCGTCCGCCGGCAGCGCCGTTCCCGTCGCGGTGTCCCCGCACCGCCCCGCCGCCGTCCCGGTGTCACCGCGCCGCCCCGTCCCGCCCTGCAGGTTGGCGCTGTACGTCTATGAGTACCTCCTGCACGTGGGAGCCCAGAAATCCGCGCAGACGTTCCTGTCCGAGGTGAGAGCCGTGTTTTATGGGGGGGGGGTCGCACCGTGTGTCACACCGGCCCCCAGCGCGTCCCCCTCCTCCCCCCTGCCGGTGCCGCACGGCTCTGACCGGCTCCCCGCGTCCCTCTGTGCCCCGCAGATCCGATGGGAGAAGAACATCACGCTGGGAGAACCGCCGGGCTTCCTGCACTCCTGGTGGTGGTGAGTAGGGATGGGGGGGGGGGGGGGCCCCCCCGGGGGCCCCCCGGGCCCCCCCCCACCCCCGGGGCTGGTTTTCCCCTCCCCCCCCCCCCCCCCCCTCCCCCAAACTCAGCCCCACTGCTCAGCCCCACAGCTGGATCCAATTTGGCCGTCCCCAAAGGGCACAAAGCCCCACACTGGGGGGGGGGTCCCGCATACTCTGT